CAGGCCCCCGCCTCAATTCCAGGGTTCTTTCCACCCCATAGTGCTGTGCTGCTTGGCCAGTGAATGGAGAGCAGCACACCTGAGGCCACCCCAGACTGGGAAGGCTGGGAAGGCGTCAGAGGGAACTTCTCTGATTCTGCTTCCTTTTTATCTCTTTCCCCTTTGCCCCACACCTGGGGGCCCATGCTCAGGGCAGAGTCCAGGTCTGCACTCTACATTGGTCCCGCCCTGGAAAACACAGGGGGCAGGGCCTAAGCCCCCAAGGCCAGCTCAGCACTCAGGCTTTTCCCCAGTTACTCCCATTCCTTTTCTGCTGAGCCTGAAGGTGACCCCACTGTCCCAGGCCCCACATGCCTCAGAACTTTAGTATTGGAGGGGCCTCATCCATCCTGGCGGAAGCTTTGCGTACTCCTTGTCTCTCCCACCAGGCTCTGGAGCTGGTGACTGTGCTGGTGGGCAGCTCCCGGGCAGATGGCCTTGTGTCCCTCCTCACCACCTCTGAGGACGCGGACGAGCCCCGGCGGCTGCAGTTTCCATTGCCTACAGCCCAGAGGTCGCTGGAGCCTGGGACCCCCCGCTGGGCTAACTATATCAAGGGAGTGATTCAACACTACCCAGGTAAGGAAATCGAGCCTGGGTCAAGCTCTGGCTGGTACCAGGTGTGGCACCATCTCTCAACCACAAAGCCCATTAGCTCATCTAATCCACTGTGGGGTGGGCTTGCAGGGTCCAAGCATCCCTATTGTACAGGTGAGGAAACTGATGCCCCAAGAGGGTCTAGAACTTGCCCTGGGTTGCTCATTACATGCCTGGAGGAGCCAGGATCCAAATCTAACCTGTTGGCCTCCAGAGTCTAAACCAGGAGGAAAGCTAGGAAGACTGTGTCCCAGGGTCCTCGGGGTAAGAGGAGGGAGGGCGGTGGTGAGCCCCTTGGCAGCAGGTTAGTGGCCTTTGACAGCTGAGATGGCCGTTGCCTCCCTTCATACCAAAATATGTGACCTTCCTGTGCCCACCCTCCTAGACAGCCCAACTTACCGTCCCCCCTCGTTTCCCCTGCAGCTGCCCCCCTCCCTGGCTTCAGTGCAGTGGTGGTCAGCTCAGTGCCCCTGGGGGGTGGGCTGTCCAGCTCGGCAGCCCTGGAAGTGGCCACATACACCTTCCTGCAGCAGCTCTGCCCAGGTACCTTCTAGATCCCAGCCCCTAACCCAACCGTCCTTCCCCGAGGTCTCCTTGTGGTCGGAGCTTCTTCCCCTGCTGTGGCTTTGGGAGGGGGCTGGGGAATCTCCCTGTAGAATCGTCGGAGCTACTGCTGCTCCCAGCCATCCACTCCTCGCGCCCCCTCCTGGGCCCCAGCCTCCACATTTCACCTTGTGCCACAGACTCGGGGACAGCAGCTGCCCGGGCCCAGGTGTGTCAGCGGGCCGAACACAGCTTCGCGGGGGTGCCCTGTGGCATCATGGACCAGCTTATCGCACTGCTGGCGCAGAAGGACCATGCCCTGCTCATCGACTGCAGGTTAGGGGCTCTCCTTGTTCCCTCCCACTTCATAATCAGGAGCTTCTTGCTGGAACATGCCCACCGCCGGGCGTGACAAGCATGCACTTGGCCTTGTCTTCTCCCATTCCAACTCCATCCCAGGTCCCTGGAGACAAACCTGGTGCCACTGTCGGACCCCAAACTGGCTGTGCTCATCACCAATTCCAATGTCCGCCACTCACTGGGCTCCAGCGAGTACCCCGTGCGGCGGCGCCAGTGTGAAGAAGTGGCCCGGGCGCTGGGCAAGGATAGCCTTCGGGAGGTGCAGCCGGAGGAGCTGGAGGGTGAGAGCCGGCCGCATGCTCTGCCCTGGAGAGCTGGGCACCCCGCTCTCCGCAGGGGCTGCCAGCGCCTCACCTCTGCCGTGTTCACTTCCCCAAACAGTTCGCCTAGGGCTCCAACCTCAGCAGTGCTGCTTGAAATCTTAATATTGTTTTTTCTAATATGAGAATTATGTTTCTACTGTGAAAAAAGTAAGAAAGTATAAAGAAGAAAGTAACAAGCTATAAGGCCACTAGCCAGAGATGGCCACCATTAACACTTTAGCATCTTCTTTCCCAGTTTGTTTACATCTATATTTTCAAAGTCGAGTAGATATAATATTGTCACGTGACTTTTTTTTTTTTACTTAACATTATCCTATTCCATGAAAGGCCCATCCACATGACTTTTAAAAGCTATGTGGTATTTCCACATACAGGTGCATGGTCATTTTCTTATCACACGTAACACTGTGATGAACGTATTTTTTTTTTTTTACACCTACAGCACCTGGTGGTCTCCCATCCAAGTACTAACCAGGCCGACCCTGCTTAGCTTCTGAGATCAGACGAGATCAGGCACGTTGAGGGTGGTATGGCTATAGATGTGATGAAGGTTTTATACATACATCTTTCTCTATCCTCTTAGGATTAGATTCTTAGTAGGATTACAGAGTGAAAAGAAAACACGTGTTTTTAACGTTCCTGCCACACACGGCCGGGAAAGTAGTCTAATAGTTTGAAGGTCATAACAATATTCACTCATTTAATTCACCAGCAACTCTGTGGAGCAGATTTTTTTTTTTCCTTCGGATGGGGAATCCAGTGCTTGAACCCAGGCACGTTAGCTCCGTGAGCCCACACTCTTAACCCCAGGCCATGCTGCTGGTGTTGAGTCCTGCCTTCTCTGGCAGGTGTGAGCGTGCCCACTTGAGGGACACTGGCCAGCCCCAAGGGACCATTTTGTCCTCGTTGGCGAAATGTCACATTCAGACCTGCCCTGCCTGCTCTGTGCAGGTGACCTTGGGCAAGGCTTTCACACTCGAACGCTTTCCTCATCCCTCCTCTCCACCTGAGCCCTGCCATACCAACTCCTGGGGGGGACGCCCTCTCTCAGGAGCAGTGCTCCCCTCTGCCTTCTCCAGAGTCCTGCCCTAGTAGCCCCCACTCTTACACCTTCCCCGCTTCCTGTCCTCTGCCCGGCTCCTCCCCTTCTGCTTTGAAACGCCCAGTTTTCCTCCGTCCTACGTGGATTCTCCTGCCAGTCTTGGAAGAATACCTAACGCTTATCGTCCCCACTTGCTCATCTCCACTAATTTCTTAATCCTCTGAATCTGCTTGTCCTCGATGCCACCCGCCTACCTCTCCCAGGGGTCCCCTACCTGTGGATGGCACTCCCCTCCCCGTCAGCAGCTGGATCTGCTCTTTCACCGTCCCGTGTCTCTGCCTGTGTCTGCCCCAGGCTTTGTCCTCAGCGCACAGCATCTGCCACCACTGCCGCACTGAGGACCCGGATGTGAGGCTGCAGCCCCTTGCTCTTCCACCTGTGGTTCCCACATTTCCACCTGGGGTCCTGGAGCCTTCACCTGGCTTCCCCTTGTCTGCCATTTCCTCGTTCTTGTCTCTCCTGTTTGAAATCTCAGAGTCACCTGAGTCCTCACTGTTCCCTCCCTCCCCCCATTCTTGTCTCTGACAGAGCTCTGTCCCCTCCTCAGGCCCCGCACTGGTCTTTTTAACAGCTGTGGGCTGGGCTCCAGGTGCCCATCTCTCCCATCCTGGGCCCTCTGCCCAAGGCGTGTACTTGTCTATTAGAGCTCAGCTCTGTCCTTCCCCTGCTCCCAAACATCTGTGCCACATGGGATTAAGCGGCAAGGTGCCCTGGTGCTCGGGTCTGCGGCTTGCCCTCCCCTCTCAGCACGGGCCAGTGGGGCAGCCTGGTTCCTGGTGCACCCTGGGCCCTGCCTCCTGACCTTGGCCGGGCCTCTTCCCTTCCCCAATTCTGGAGCCCCAGCCTTTGGATTTCTTCTCCCTTTTGATCTGTGGTGGCTTCTTGAAGGCAGCATTGTGTCCCACTCATCCTAGGAACACCAAGAGTCAGGGGCTTCAACTGCTGGCTGGTGGGGCTGGTCCCAGTATGTGCCAGGTGCCCTGAATGAGGTGGGCATCCCACTTGACAATTGCGTGGGGAAGGTGCTCAGCTTAGTCACCACCCCAAGGTTCTACCTACAGCTTTGTCAGCGCCAGGTCTCCAACTGGAGGCTCCCCAACCTCCCCAGCACCCCCCACCCCCAGGGCCACTGCCATGGAGCCCCATCCTCTACATCTGCGGGGCCCAGAGGAGGTGGGTGGTGGGCCTGCTGACCCCTTTCCTCCCCAGCTGGCAGCGAGCTGGTGAGCAAGGAGGGCTTCCGGCGGGCGAGGCACGTCGTGGGGGAGATCCGGCGCACAGCCCAGGCAGCAGCCGCCCTGAGCCGGGGTGACTACAAAGCCTTCGGCCGCCTCATGGTGGAGAGTCACCACTCCCTCAGGTGAGGCCTCCTGGGCCCCAGGCACCTCGGACACAGTCTGTCTCCAGGGCCGGGGGAGCGGGTCCCAGGCCTGTGCACTGCTGTCTCTTCGCAGGGATGACTACGAGGTGAGCTGCCCTGAGCTGGACCAGCTGGTGGAGGCCGCGCTGTCTGCGCCTGGGGTTTACGGCAGCCGCATGACTGGCGGTGGCTTTGGTGGCTGCACGGTGACTCTGCTGGAGGCCTCCACCGCCTCCCAAGCCATGCAGCACATACAGGTGGGCAGGCGCCAGAGCCTGGAGGCATGGGACAACTGGGTTCCCGGGGCTCTGCTGTGCTCAGGCCCAACCTCCCTCTCCCACAGGCAAGGTACAGTGGTACCGCCACCTTCTACCTCTCCCAGGCGGCCGACGGTGCCAAGGTGCTGCACTTGTGAGGTGCTCCCGTGGGATGGCCCTCGGCGGGCACCCGCCTGCCAGGCAGCAAGCTCCACGCCTCGGGCACCGGCCCTCCGCATCGGAGTGCTCAATAAACTTGTGCCTTGGACCATGACATCCACCTGCCTCTAGTGGTGGGTGTGTGCTTGGCCGTCAGAGAAGGGTGGGTGTCAGAACCACGCCCCTGCTCTGAATGGCCAGAAGAATGGCCAGGGCAGAGCCAAGCGTAGCAAAGTCTTTTATTAAGTGCAGAACAAAGCTGGGTCCTTGTCATGCTGGTCCCAGCTCTTTGGTTACAAATAGGCTTGGATGGGATGGGGGGCAGCTAGAAGGGCCTTCTGGGACCTCTGCCCCCTTCATGCTTCCCAGAGGACCCCTCCCCCCTGCCCTGTAGCCAGAGGCGCTGGCCCCGAGATCAGCTTGTGGGTGGGTGGGTGGGGCCACCAGGGGTCCAAGGGTGGTGTAGCTGAGGCAGCGCCAGGGAGAGTAGGCAGGGTGGGGACCCAGGTTCCAGAACAGTCGGGTAGGGGTGGGGGACTCAGGTCTGGAAGAACTGCTGATCCACCTGGGTGCTGAGGGTCCCACTGGTAGTCAGTGTCCGGCTCACAAACTCCTGGGTCACATGACGAGTAAGGGAGCCACCTGCTTCCAGGCTCTGGGACCCCAAAGTGAGTCCATCTACAGGGGAAGAGGTGTTGAAGGACTCTGCCTGGGTCCCTGCCCCTCTTCTTTTGTTAGCTCTGTGCTCCCCTGGGAGCCAGGAGGCTGCTCCCCCACCCGCTGCCACCTGGCAACTCACCCAGCAGGAAGGGCTCAGTGGTGTGGGTGGTGGTGATGCTGCTGTACTCACTGCCTGGCAGTGGCTGCTGGAAGAGCCCGGGGTGGCTACCCAGCTGTGGGAAGGGGCCTGGAATGGGCGGGGGAGCCAGTCAGGGAACGGTGCCAGGAGAAGGTGGGGCCGGAGAAGGGGTGAGGCTGAAGAAGCGGTAAGGCGCCCTACCTCCATCCTGGGACTCGATGGTGATGATCCCCTCACGCTCTGGACCAAAGCCTTGGGTGGTCTTGGCCTGCACCTTGAACTTGTAGGGCACGTTCTCACTGAGGCCTGGCACTGTCAGTCGGCTCTCAGGGTTGTCACCATCCACCAGGAACGTGGTAGCTGGCTCTAAGCAAGGAAGATGCCTTTAGCCTCCGTGGCTGTCTCTCCACTCCTCCCCTGGCCACCCCTGACCCTGGGGCAGACAGTACCTCCTCCATGGGCCATCTCACAGGTCACCAGGTAGCCCAGGATATCCCCATCAGGCCTGCGTGGCCGCTCCCAGCTCAGCTGCAGCGAGTCTGGGCTCAGGGCGGTGAACACCAGTGGGCCTGGGGCACTGGGCGTGCTCAAAGTGAAGGCGGAGCCTGGGGGGGAGCCGGGGTGGGTGTCAGTGTGCACGTGGGTGGGGGAGAGACAGCCACGGGGCTGGAGGAGGCAACTCACCTGGCAGGGGGCAGAGTGGGCTCTGGGGGTGCACCTGTGATTCAATGGTGATGACACCCTCTCGCTCTGGGCCCCAGCCTTCCTGGCTCTGGGCCCGCACACGGAACACGTAGGAATGGTTGGGCAGAAGGTCGCCCACCACCACTGAAGTCTGACTGGGGTTGGGGATGTTGAGCCGATGCAGCTCTCCTGGATTTGGGGTGAGGGGTGGGGGCAGACAGTGGAACAGCATTATTCCTGCCCTTGGCCTCGTCCCGCCCTTTCCTTAGGCTCCTGCCAAAACCTGGTCATCATCCCCTGCCCAGGATTAGCTGTGGTTTGGGGCCAGCCTAGGATGGCATGGCTGGTTGTTCGGATTGTACACTACAAAAGGGTGTGAGTGGAGCCTGAAATCCCACCAATGTTCTGGCCGTTATGGGCCCGAGTCATGCCACTGCGAGTGTGTCTGCCAAGAAGGGCCACTTCCCCATGCCCACGAAGGCACCTCCTAGGGCCAGCGGAGGTCCTGGGGCCCTAGGTCAACGAGGCCTTGTTAGGCACAGCCTAGCAGAGGGAATGACCGGGAGAGAGGCGCAGGGAGATGGATGAGGACTGGGAAGGGGGCTCTAGTGTTCGGGGACTTGGGTGGATTCCTCACATGGCCACTGCCCGTATGTCACAACGTGGGGCTGGGCCATGCAAGGCTACGGCCCCACGGTCTCCCCACAGCCGTGCCTTACCGCCATTCAGCAGCTGGTACTCCACGCTGTAGCCCTGCAGTGCCTGCTCACACTGCGGCTCCTGCCAGCTCACTTTCAGAGATGTGGGCCCCAGGGCGGAGAACACCAGGCGGGTGGGTGTGTTGGGTACACCTGCAGCCAAGCGGGAGCCTAGAGACAGGAGGCCACAGTCAGCCTGGGTCGGGGGTCCCCGGGCAGGAGTCGTAGTTCTAGCCCTGACCTCCCTCAGGTGTCTAATCAACACTGACCGCTGACGGAGAGGCTCGCTCACCCTGCCACACCCTGTCCAGGCCACCCAGCACCTCCCGTACATCCTCAGGGTGAGTGTGGGCCCTGCCTGTGCCAAGAGACGGCAGGTACCGTGAGTCGGCCAGCACTCCACCCCCTCTCAGCTGGCCTGACCCTTGCTCCCCAGACCCAGCCCAACGCCCCCGGGAAGGCAGAGGCTGTGTTAGGCTTCAGCACTGATGTGGATGGAATGGAGGGGGAGGCGGTGGTCATGGGCAGTGGCTGCAGTGGATGATGGATGACAGATGGAGCAGGACAGCTGTGGAGACACAGGATGGCCACCCTGTACTACCTGGGCCCCAAGAGGGTGCCGTTGGCCGCCCAGCCAGTATTATAGAGTCTCGTGAGTCCCTGGAGGGGGGGAACCCCTTCATCCGAGCCCGACTCCAGGACCCCAGGGCCCAGGACAGCGGAAGCCTGCTCCTCCCGGCTTCCCAGATGGGAGGGAGGCCTGGGGAGGGACAAACAGGAGTCAGGGAGCAGGAAGTGTATGTGCTGGACGGTGAGCAGGAGGGGACGGCAGGCCAGCAGCCCGAACCTCCAGGAGCTGGAACAGAGGAGGGGTCGGCTGGAGGGGCAGGGCGGGCGGTGGGCACTCACTGTGGGAGGAGAGGGAGGTGAGGGTGGAGTAGTCCCTGGGCAGCGTGCCGGAGTGTTCCGTGCGGGTCAGCGAGTGGTAGTCCCGCGTGAGGGTGGAGGACGTGCTCAGCACTCGGTGGGGCAGGTGCGGGCTCAGGTGGGTGCCGTAGGTCGCTGCGTTGGCCGTGGTCATCCTGTGCAGGGAGTTGGCGCTGCCCGGGAAGGCAAAGTCCATCCGCCCATTTACCAAGTGCTCTGCAGGGGAGAGCAGGGTCACTTGGACAGGCCGGCACAAGACCCAGGGCCCCTTTGGGCAGGCCGTGGCCCTGGGAATTCTAGAATTATCTATCCTCTGGGGGCTGTGGCATGAATACAACCAGCCTCCCTCAGCCCACAGGGGACAGCAGCCCAATGTCCCTGGAGTTGTCCAGCCACACAGGCTTCTGTAGTCCACATCCTCTGGCCTGGCAGTCTGAACACCCCTGACCCCAGTTGAAACTGCCCCTGCAGTCAGCCCTGGCTTGGGGAGAACCCAAGTGCTTGCCCTGTGTCCCCTGAGGTCTTTGAGGGGTCTCCTTGGGTAGCAGGCCCTGCCACGGACACAACAGACTTCCTAAGTTGTGTACAGACAGCTGGGCAGGCATCATAATGGAGGTCGCTGCCCCTGGGGGCAGTCCTGCCAAAGCAGAGACTCAACGCATGCCCTGCGGGTCCCTTGGCTCCGGGGGTTCGCCTCCGTGTCACTGCGCGTTTCCTGCCGGGGCAGGGGGCCTTAATGGGCAGGCTGGCCACAGCAGGCTGGGGCTGGGGCTCTGAGGCAGCAAACGAGTGAGCTTTGGTGGGTGCGGGGTCGGGGCACGCCGGGCATGGCCGGTCACCTCCGGGGGGCCCGGCCGTGGC